GTTCATTTTTCAGACAGTTACTTCCGAACACGGTTCTCGTGTATCGTTCGTTCGGAGGGGCCTTGACGGGTCGTCTACGCTGAAGTCGGAGTAGCTTGCTTGGGGAGAGGTGATGACGATGACATTGCAGGCAACCTCAATGGTGTCCTCGCCTCGGCGGTATGTGTGGGTCTTGTGGGTGCCTGGTTGGCCGGGGTGCCCTTTTTTCTGGGCGTGTGTTCTAACAGTTTTAGCCCAGTTCTCCGTAAATTAACCCGGCAACTCTCTTCAGCTTTTTTAAGAAATCGCGATTCTCAGGGCCGAGTTTCAAAAAAAGTCAATTCGCAGACATATGATGGTAGTGGAATCATTAGAACTAATTTTCCTTTGAATCGCAGAGGCCCTAAAAAATACAGCAAGAATACTAATAAACATGTAAGGATTGGACTAACTACCGATCAGTCGGTAGTTAGTAACAGATCCAGACGATTTCCCGCATGTGCTGATCAACGCTGCATGCACTGGAGCAAAAACATGGTTTTACATACACACTTGCGTATTTGATTCTTCATACACAGCATCTCATTGCATGCATGCAAAAAAAGATGAAATTGCCTACGTCGGTAAAGGTACAATCTAAATTCAAAATTCAAAATGTTTTGTAGACCAAACAGTAACTCCGATTCAAAATCTGTTTTTACAAAAAATATTCGTCACGACAAGATCTTCGAAACTAGATCTCATGTTGATATGTTCCGACGACTTTTTTTCGGACAAAGTTACCACATCGGCTATGTAGGTTATCATGCATGTGCTACATATGTTACCATGTTGTTTACACAGATATTACCGGGGCATAAAACGGATTTCTCTAACCTTCTTATCAGATACACATGCATGCATGCACAAGGACAAAAAGGTTGTCATTCTAGATTCTTCCTAGATGATTTTTTAAGGGTTTTTATCATTTTTGCCACTAGTTGTGTCCCACTACTCAGTTTTGCCATTAGAAGTTACAACTACTCAAAAATGCCATCGATCCGTGAGATGTTTGCTCAAAAATGCCATCGTTCCGTTAGATGTTTCCTCAAAAATGCCATTAGACATCGTTATTTTCACATCAAACTCATTGACCATGTTATATGACAAAAATAAGCCTAGACCTACATGTTAGTTCTCTCTATCTCATAATGATAAGTGTGGCCCCACTTGTCAGGAGTAACCAAGCGAATAATTTTATAGGAAAATAAGAATGTCGTTGGGATCAAGTGGGCCCCACACTTTATTGTAGTAAGATAGAAGGAGAGCTGGCATGTTGGTTCATAGGTATTTATGTCATTATAACATAGCAAAAAAGATTTGAGATCACAATAATGGTGCTCAGTGGCATTTTTGAACATGTGCCTAACAAAGCGATGGCATTTTTGAGCAGTTGAAATTCCTAGTGGCAAAACTGAGTAGTGGGACACAACAGATGGCATAAATGATAAAAACCCTTTTTTTAAATGTAGCTCAAAGATAATTCGGATTGAAAAATTATTTTCACATAAAAAAATCATCATGATGAGACCTTCGAAATTAGATCCTATGTTTCTATGTTCCAGTGAGTGCTTTTAAAAAAGTCACCATGCTTATGCTTTACACAGAAAATTAATATAGGGTAAAAATGATTCCTTCAACTTTCTCCTCACATGTACATGCATGCATGCACTAGAGATAAAAAAAAGTTGATCTCATACTTTTTCAAAACTTCAAAAATATTTGTAGCTTAAATTGTCGGTCCGATCGGAAAATCATTTTAACATAAAAATCCTTCGCGACGAGAGTTTTGAAATTAGATCTCGTATTAGTATGTTCCGGCGACTTTTTTTCTAAAATGTTTTAACGCCTGTGCTATGTAAGTTATCATTACTATTATGCGCATATTACCATACAATTTAGGCGGAAGTTATGAGGGAGTGTGTTTCGATAACATTTCCGTCGGGTCAAAAGGTACCGCTACATTTTTACATGAGTTATCATCTTTGTTGTGCGTAAGTTACCGTGTTATTTACATAGAAGTTATCGAGGGGGTGTTTACAACAACTTTTTTTCCATGTCAAACTTTACATAGTATTTATATCTAAGTTATCATGTCTATGATGTTTATATTACCATGTTGTTTACACAACAATTACCGGGTTATGTTTTAGGGTCAAAAAAGTTGTCACCGTGTTTATACCTGAGTTATCAGGTCTATAGTGCATATATTACCATGACATTTACACATGAGTTACCATGGTATGTTTTCAACAACTTTTTTCGAAGGTGAAATTTGCCGTGGTGTTTGTGACCTAAGTTATAAGTTATGTGGTGCATATATTGCCATGTTTTTTTACACATAAGTTATCAGGGGTATATTTGCATAAAGAGTTAAAAAAACATTACCACTGTGTTTGGGTGTGAGTTATCTTAGGATTCGTATATTACCATGATGTTTACACATAAGTTACCGGGATATATTTTCATCAACTTTTTTTCTCAGGTCAAAGTTACCGTAGAATTTGGATCTAAGTTATCTGATCCACGGTGCATATATATTACCATGCTATTTACATAAAAGTTATCGGAGGTGTGTTTGCATCAACTTTTTCCCTCATGTCAAAAGTTATGAAGGTGTTTATGCATGAGTTATCAGTACTGTGATGTGTATATTACCATGCTATCTCCACAGAGATTACCGGGGTTATGGTTTTCAACAACTTTTTTCCTTGGTCAAATTTACCGCGGTGATTTATACCTAAGTTATCAGGTCTGCGATGCATATATTATCATGTATGTAATTCTCAGGTCTGCGATGCATATATTATCATGTATGTAATTCTCAAGTCTGTAGCGCGTAAATTGCGGTGCTAATTACAAAACAAAAGACCGAGGTATGTTTCAACAACTCTTTTCACCCGATTAGCAACATGCTAGCTTCCGCATTAGCATCACGGTAGCTATACATGAACAACCTGGTAACTTAAAAATTAGCAGCCTGGTAATCCGTAGAACAATTCAAGAGATTTTTTTTTTTGAAACAGCATAGTAATAAAGGTTCAACTATCTTTTTTATCTAGTGTGGACAACAACCAACGATGGTTGACTTGGTTGAGGGGGCATGAAGTAAGCTCAGCCACGCTGAGTTCAAATCCTCTTTCTTGGTCTTTATTTTTCAAGACCGAAACTCCTCCAGAAAATCACGATCGAGATCTACCCGAAAATCACGCTCACGATCACAACCTCCCCAACAAATAGAGGCCACGATCGGGATCCAACCTCCTTCAAAAAAGGAAACAAAATATGGGCAGCGCGCGCAAAAAAAGGCGAGCCATTGTTCCCGCAAATCAGGATCCTATTAAAGCGACAATTATTGTTCCCGCAAATCAGGATCCTATTAAAGCGACAATTGCCCTTGATGACTACCGTGGGATGGCGATCGGACGCCTCCGAGGTCGTTCGGACCTGTTGCAAAATTCCGGACGGCAGGAATTTAGCTTTCTCGAACATGTAAACCTTAGCCCCAACTGTGTATATAAAGGGAGGCTAGGGTTCCACTGCCGGAGCACACACGAATCTGGACGGACACTGACATGCCAAAGAGGTGGTACACGCGCCGTCATTGCCCCACCAAAGTCATCAGCCTCGGTTCGGGCGGATTTTGCGTCACCAACTTCTTCGAAACTAAGGACTACGATTACCTCTGCAGCCACTATGATTAGGCATAAATCCAGATTTGATAGGAGTCACGGCACCAACATGATGGTGTCGGTGCTCTGAGTCACTTATTTTGAGGCATAAAAGCAGCTCTGGCTCTCCCATCAAATCTCTTTTAACTCCCTAAATTTGAGGGGTTAAGCCCCTTCCGGCCCTTCCCTCAAACTTGCCTCTCCATGCTCAAATTTGTAGGGAAAAAGAGCTATTCTCCTAAATTATTCTTCCTCCCGACACTAATTTTTCTTTGGCAGACCCAACAATCGTCGTCCATCACTGCCCATCTCCACTGCGACCCTAAAGAGAGCAGTTCTACGAGCTTGGGGCAGATGGATACCGTTTGGTTGCAGTTGACCAGCTAGTACTCATTGAGCAGCTCCAGTTTCCTGTTGGACCAATCACAATCTTTTGATAGAACTCAGGTTTTGAGCGCGAAAGAAAATGACCCGTTCAACCTGCCTAATTTCATGACTTGTATATTGTCATTTCCTCCCATATTTTTGTTCAGGAATCTGTTGATACTACTCATTAATGAGATGATAACACATGATAGGTGGGGATACAGAACCAGCAGCTGTTAATTTTGAAAAATTAATTATTCTGAAAAACAAAACTGAAAAATTAATTATCCTCCAATTTTACAGATACTTCAATATATGTATTAAAGATCATGTATTTCCTCCCACATATCCCACATCATAACTCTGGAGGCCTCTATTAAATTTGAGTCATTGGTTTCCTTCCATTTCAGCACATACTGTAATATATGATTCATGCAGGAGATAGAAAAACAATCGTACTACATTGATTTTTCCTCATTGTTCCCAATCGTATATTGTCCATCCCACATAATCTTATCATATCTTCTAGATTTAGCAGAAATTAAACTCATTAATGTTACCAAATGCTCTGGATTTATCAACTGATTAATACTCCCTCATTCCTAAATATTTGTCTTTCTAGAGGTCTCAAATGGTGACTACATACGGAGCAAAATGAGCGAATCTACACTCTAGAATATGTCCATATACATCCGTATGTGGTGACCATTTGAAATCTCTAGAAAGACAAATATTTAGGAACGGAGGGAGTATATGCCAAAAATAAGACAAGACCCATTAATTGTTCGTGCTATATAAAGATTGTCCGGTGATTGATCCAATTCCGGCATTGCCATCATCTTCATCGCCGGTAGCTGTGTGGCTTGAGCTTCGAGGAATGGTGTCGTTCACAAATCTCTCAGTACCACTTCTCTTGCTCGCGATCCTCTTTCCTACGCTCGCACTATGCTATATCAATCCTTTTCGGAAAAAAAACTATGCTATATCAATCCAGTTGCCACAAGCGTACACCAAAATACCACAAAACCCACTGCTTATCGTGCTTACATCGTGCTCGTCAAGCCACCGCACTCGAATGCCAACGAAGATGCCCATCGCCAGTGGCACAAATCTTTCTTGCCAAGTTCGTTGACCGGTGAGTCCAACGAGTCGCGCCTTCTCCATTCCTACACCGAGGTGTTCAGTGGCTTCGCCGCGAGGCTCACCAACGCCGAGCTCGACGCTATGGCCAAGAAGCCAGGGTTCGTGCGTGCATTCCCCGATCAGACGCTGCAGCTAATGATCACCCACACGCCGGAGTTTCTTGGGCTAAGGAATGGCACCGGGTTCTGGAACCAGGCTGGCTATGGTAAGGGAGTCATCATTGGACTGCTCGACAGCGGCATCTATGCGGCACACCCTTCCTTCAATGACCATGGAGTTCCGCCACCCCCAGCAAGGTGGAAGGGCTCGTGCGAGGCGGCTCGGTGCAACAACAAGATCATCGGTGCCAAGTCACTCATTGCGGGTGATGACTCTGGTGATGGAGATGGGCATGGTACGCACACCTCATCCATAGCTGCTGGGAATTTCGTAGCCGGTGCGTCATACCATGGCGTGGGCACGGGCACCGCGGCCGGAATTGCTCCGGGTGCTCACATCGCCATGTACAAGGTATGTGTTGCTCGTCGCTGCAAGCAATCTGCCGTACTGGCCGGCCTAGAAGAGGCCATCAAGGATGGGGTGGACGTGCTTTCGCTCTCTCTTGGCAGGGAAACCATCGCCAGCTTCGATCACGACCCCATCGCTATCGGCACGTTTAGTGCCATTTCCAAGGGCATCCTCGTGGTGTGCGCCGCCGGCAACAGCGGTCCACATCGCTATCGGTGCTTCATCGGCAACGATGCGCAGTGGTTGCTCACGGTCGCCGCCGGCTCCATGGGCCGAAGCTTCGGCGTCAGCATCCATCTCGCCAACGGCAAGAGCATCCACGGAGAAGCACTTACCCAGAAAGCGAGTACAAGCTCAAAGTTGCACCCTCTCCTCTACTCCGAGGAACGGCGGTACTGCAATTACGATGGTGATAGTAGCATCGCTGGTAAGATCCTGCTTTGCGAGGACAATTTCTCGAAGGTTCAACAGTCCAAAATCCGCAACATAATGAGCTCTGGCGTGGTAAGCGTGGTGTGTTGTTCAACAACCGAATCTGCGGCTACTCCACCTTTCTTCAGGCTTCCAACTCCAGTATTGTACAGGTGAACACGGCCGACGGCAACGCCCTCATAGCTTACGCCGCGTCGACGGAGAGCAGCTCCGCGGCGTCTCTCGCATACAACGGCACACAGTATGGCGTCCGCCCAGCCCCCGTCGTGGCCTGGTTCTCTTCCCGGGGTCCAAGCAAACATGCGCCGGGCATCCTAAAACCGGACATACTGGCACCGGGCCTCAACATCCTCGCTGCTTGGCCGCCAAGCACGAGCTCTGGACAGGGCCCTTTCAACGTCATATCAGGCACATCCATGGCGACGCCACACGTAAGTGGTGTCGCGGCGCTCATCAAAGCCATCCATCCCGACTGGTCACCGGCCGCCATCAAGTTTGCCATCCTAACAACGTCGGACATTGTCAACAGTACCGGTGGCTCAATCTTGGACGAGCAATATAGAAAGGCCGACGTGTACGACAAAGGCGCCGGCCATGTGAACCCGGCGAGAGCCGCCGACCCTGGCTTGGTGTATGACCTCAACTCTGTTGACTACTCTGGCTACATCTGCTAGCTCCTTGGTGACAGTGGCCTAGTAACCATTGTGCGCAACTCGAGCTTGACCTGCGCAAAGCTGGCCAAGGTCCAGGAGGTGCAGCTTAACTACCCGACGATAACCGTGTCGTTGACATCGATGCAGTTCACTGTGAACCGGACTGTGACGAACGTCGGGCCAGCGGATTCGAAGTTCAAGGCCAAAGTGGACGTGCCGAGGTCTCTGACAGTGCATGTCGTCCCGGAGACGTTGTCGTTCTCCAAAACCGGAGAGAAGAAGACCTTCAGTGTGTCGGTGAACGGCCACGGCATGGGCAAAGAGAAGAAGGCCTTGGGCGTGTCTGTGAGCGGCCATGGCTTGGACAAAGAAGGAGTGCACGTGGAGGGAAGCTTGAGCTGGGTATCTGAGAAGCATGCACTACCGGAATAACCATATATGCTTACGGCCTTATCTATGCCGACAGCTTTTTGTCGGGACCGTCGGCATACCTCAAGCTACGCCGACAGCCTGGGAAAAGCCGTCGGCATACCTCCATCTATGCCTACGGCAGCCGTAGGCATAGTTAGGCCGTCGGCATATATCGATCTATGCCTACGGTAGCCGTAGGCATAGTTAGCCCGTCGGCATAAATGTGGCCCGGGTGACTCAGGGACAAATGGCGGGCTGACGCCGTCAAATCTATGCCGACGGCCCTGACGGCGGCCGTCGGCATAGATATTATCTGTATTTTTTTATTAGGAGCTGCCACGTGGCAGAGCTATGCCGACGGCAAAGTCGTAGGCATAGTTTTCCACCTATGCCTACGGCCTTGCCGTAGGCATAGCCCCGCCACGTGGCGCCTCTTGGCAGCCCCTGGCCAAGAACTATGCCTACGGCATGGCCGTAGGCATAGATATTATTTGTTTTTATTTTAAATTATTTTTATTTTTAAGTTAAAATTTGTTTAATTTAAATCTAACTTATCTAAACTTAAATATACACAAATTATACATCGATTTAGGGTAGAATTTTCCATAGATTATGAATATCCAGTTTGTTTTTGTTTTTGAGTATGTTAGAAATGTGGCCTCCTGTACTTTTGCATATATGTCCTTATGCTTTGTTAAAATCATAAGTAATTGATACTTGGATCGATTTTGACAAATTGTATATGGGTTTTATCAGAATCTTGAAAGGATTCTGTGCTATACTATGTTTCAAATTTGAACAAACTTAAATCGTGTTTGCTTCAGATTTACAGAAAACACCCTTTTGTTTTGACTTTTTTGTATATTTGTCATTTCTTGCCCAAACGAGACAAATTTTATATCTACATCCATCAGATTGTTTCAAGGATTGTCGTTCATGAGGAAACGGCCATGTCGGGTTGACACGAAAGGAATCTTATGGTGGGTTTGGCTCAGACCTTGTTCTCAAGTGTTCCTATGGGCCGACCTATCACAACCAGGTGAAAACGTCCATTGGTCAAAGCTCGTCCGGTGAAAGTCAAAGGCATAGATTTCCGGGTCAACTTGTCCAGGGTTAGGCCGACCGGGGGCCTTCGGGGGAGGGGTAGCAATGCCACCAGAGCATCGCGCCGAGTCCTCATACATGTCGAAAGGTGTGGTGCCATGTCTAAAGAGGCAATACGTGGCTCCGGTGTGAGGTTCGACCTCATGAACGACGATGAAATCGAAGTAATCCTTCTGCGGTTTTGGCGTTGCATGAATATTCCTGAACACTTGGAGCGTAATCAATTCATGAGATTTTTACACAGTGCAGACACATATGATATAATATGCATGGCAATTTCTTATATTTTTGTAAGATGTAGGAGTATGTGAAAAAAAATCCCCCACCACTGATTGTTTTCCACGTGTCTACAAGTGTGGTCGGGGGCCTTTGGGGGCTAGCTATGCCACCAAATCTTGCACCAGGTCCTCTTACATGTCTGGAAATGTGTTGTCAGGTGCAAACAAATGACATTCGGCTCCTGGAGTGTGACCCCCCTTCACGGAAGGCGCTGCCGCCGGCACTTGGAGGGAGGAAAAGGCCGCATCGGATCGACACGAGGGGGGGGTCCGCTAGTCGGTTGGGCCCAAACCTTGTTCTGAAATGTTCCTATGGGCTGACCTGTCACAACCAGGTGGAAAAGTACGTTGGTCAAAGGCCGTCCGGTAAAAGTCAAAGGCCTAGATCTTCGGGTCAATCGGGCTAGGATTAGCCGGTCGGGGGCCTTGGGGGTAGCAATGGTACCAAAATCGCATTGTGTCTTAATATATGTATACAAGTGCGATGGAGGGTTGAAATAGCCAACGGATCAACGGGCGGCGCACTTCCTTCACAAAACTGGGCACACTCTCTCTATAGCTAGATACTACCTCGAAAATGGTGCAGTTTACAAGAGGCCTTCGGTTAGGCTTATGCGAAATGCGCTCAAACTTTTACCACAACCTACAAGGGCCACATGACGCCACCGTGCTAGGTATCGAGAATTTCCGGCATCGTATGATTTCCCGTGGATTTTAACGGCTAGATCCAGCATGTCGCTGAGGCACATTCACCCTTTGGTGGTGGGGCCTGCCCCTCCTTTGGTTGCACTAGGCCTACACATACCGCAAAGACATCATATATGATTTGACAAACCACTTCTGGACATCATTTCAGGTGGTCGCCATGCAGATCTGTAACTTCTTGCATTGAAACCCTACGGATGCAATAAATGTCTCAAATATTGCAGGCGGCCCCGGAAAATGCCATGTCCTTCCATGTGTCATGTGATGGCCCCATTTGAGATCATGAGAAGTTTCGAGGTCAACGGAGAAACGGGCAACACACTTCCTTCACAAATCGGACAAGTTCTCTCTCGATAGCCATATACTACCTCGGAGATCTTGTAGTTTACAAGCGGCCTACTGCCAGGCTTCTATGAAACGCGCTCAAACTTTTACCACACCCTACAAGGGCCATATGATGACACCGTGCCAGGTCCCGAGGATTTCCGGCATCATATGATTTCCCGTAGATTTTAACGGCCAGATCCAGCATGCCGCCAAGGTACATTCGCGCCCGGGTGGTGGGTCCTGCCCGTCCTTTGGTTGCACTAGGCCTACACGTACCGTGAATACATCATATATGGTTTTACAAACCACTCTTGGACATCATTTCAGGTGCTCGCACTTTACCAGCGGTCTCCGGTCAGGCTTCTCCGAAACGCGCTGAAACTTCACCACACCCTACCGTGGCGGGCTCGGCCCGGTCGGGAAGCATGGGAAGGAGCGAGCCATTTATACCGATTCCCTTCTCCAAAATTGTTAAGTGTTTACTCGGAATAAGAGGAGAAAATACAATTGCAATAGCTTAAATCTCATTAGTGGAGCAACCTTGAGCAACCTTGAGCTGCCACGTGGCAGGACTATGCCGACGGCAAAGCCGTAGGCATAGTTTCGCCATGTGGCAGCTCCTGGTTGGTTGGACTTAGCGACGGCACCGTCAGCTGTCATCTCGTCCTTTTTTTGCCGACGGTGAAACTATGCCGACGGTTGTACGAAAGTCGTCGGCATAGCTGCCTGTGCCGACGGCTTTAGTATGCCGACGGTCTGACAAGAGTACGCTGACGCATTCTATGCCGACGGGGATATGCCGACGGCAGCCGTAGGCATAGGCCTATGCCGACGGCCTTGGGCCATAGGCATAGCTGCTGATTCCGGTAGTGATGTGGTGCGGAGCCCCATCGTCTTCGTCGTCACAGGCGGTGGTACTGCTCCAGCTCCAGTGCCATCATCATCATCATGAACGATGTCCGTGTCATGACATGGGTGGATGTTTTTCTTTGTCCATGTTCACTTCCCATGTTTTCCAGTATTATTACTGTTGCGTCAACATAAACACTATATAAATAAATAAACGTCTCATTATGCTTGACTGTACTAATATCAGTAACAAGAAATGTTTACAGAACTTGGTTGGATTTTATGAGTACTTGATTGCTGGATTTGATATCGAGTTCTCTCTTCATAAGTTGCCTGCAACTTTCAGTAGTAGTAGTAGTAGTAGTAGTCGAGGCAAACCCAGTATTACTTGGCAACAAGTACCACTGAATTGTTGATTTTATTGTGGACAAGGCTGTTGACTTGGTGTTCCGATGTAACCGACAGTAATATGAAGTTCATCTTCATAAACTGCAAAAGCTCTCCTCGGGCATTGATCTTCAGGCAATAGCGTGTGATCGTCGTAGCACTCCGTACGTGTTGCTGGCAACTGAGTGTTGCCCCTCCAGTCTCATGTCCATGATCATCTATTTATCCGTCGGAGATGTTTGGCAGAACATAATAAGAATTAAACCTGGTTAACTGTAGAAGCCAAGTCGATGTGTTTCTCATAGGTTCCATTGCTTCAGACCTCAGCACCAAGTAGCCCAAATGGATGCTGAAGTAGAGGGTATATTCCCTTGTTTGCAGATACTAGTAAGCTTGTAACCTTAGTCCAAACTTTTCTTATTCATCATACTCCCTCCGTTCC